GCGTGGCAAATCGGAACTGAAGATATAGTGATTTTTTAAATTCTGCTATATTTTGGACACTATTGATGCCAGAGACCTCAAATTTTGACCAAAAAGCTTCCACGGATATATGTCCGCCCACAGGGCGCGTGGCAAACCGCAAAAGTGTATATCTCCTAAAGTATAATAGCTAGAAGTCTCAAATTTATATAGTTAAGTTACTAGCAGCCTCCTCTATCGATGACCCAAAAATAATTTTTACGGTTAGCTCGTTCTAAAAACTGACCAAAAATGAGATGTCTACGCCCAGTAGGGGCGTGGCAAATCGGGTAAAACTGATTGTTTTTTAATGTTACAAGCTGCATCTGGATTATTTTGAACAGGGACCGTAACAATTATAATTTTTATAGCAAAAAATTAGAAAATAATAATTAGTTTTTGATAAATTAAAGAAAAATTATATTTAATTATTAAAATTGATTTTTATGATAAAAATCAAAAATAATAATAATAACAAGTAAGAAGGCTCCAGTCGAGACTGCTCGACTAGGAGATACTCTGAACCCTCCAAGCTGATATTCTAATCATTCTGCACTTCTTCTATGTACACATACGCTCTGCTAACTGCGCAGTAAGCAGCGGCTGCGCTTGGGCTGCGCTGCAATGAAGGCTATATTATGACAATTTATTTGTTGAATAATTTCTTTTGTAGACATACAATCTTAATACAACTTTCAGAGCGTAATCATATGGTTAAATTGTGTGTACATTCCAAAGCACAAGTCTCTAGTACTTGAAATGCGTTTTTTTTAATTGGGGGCGAAGGGGGCGTGGTATCCAAAATCTGTAAATTACAAAATCTTTGTGTCCATTAAACTTTATATACAACGCAAATTTGAAGACTCCAGGTCTAAAAGTGTTCAAACTAGGCTGAAAAAACCAAGTCGATTTTTCGATTATTCTCGATAAAAAAGTTATCGGATGAGTTATCGAAAAAATAAAGCAAACTCGTACTGCCTATGGTATACTCGAGTATGCATGCCAAATTTCAGCTCTCTAGCTCTTATATCTTCTGAGATCCTTTTGCTCATACGGACGGACGGACGGACGGACAGACGGACAGGGCTATATCGACTCAGCTCGTCGTCCTGATCAATAATATATATACTTTATGGGGTCTGCGATGATTCCTTCTGCCTGTTACATACTTTTCACAAAACCATTATACCCTGATTTCCCATTTTCAATGGGTTCAGGGTATAACAAGTAAGAAGGCTCCAGTCGAGACTGCTCGACTGGGAGATACCCTGAACCCTCCAAGCTGATATTCTAATCATTCTGCACTTCTTCTATGCACACATACATACACATGCACTTATAAGCACGCGCTCTGCTAACTGCGCAGTAAGCAGCGGCTACGCTTGGGCTGCGCTGCAATGTGGGCAATATTATGAGAATTTATTAGTTGAATAATTTCTCTTGTAGTAAGAGTATCTTTATGAAACTTTCAGAATGTGTTCATATAGTTAAAATGTGTGTACATTCCAAAGCACAAGTCTCTAGTACTTGAAATGCGTTTTTTACGAATTGGTGGCGAAGGGGGCGTGGTATCCAAAATCTGTAAATTACAAAATCTTTGTGTCTATTAACTCTATATACAACGCAAATTTGAAGTCTCCTGGTTGAAAAGTGTTCAAATTAGGCTGAAAAAACAATGTCGATTTTTCGATTATTCTCGATAAAAAAGTTATCGGATGAGTTATCGAAAAAATAAAGCAAACTTGTACTGCCTATGATATACACGAGTATGCATGCCAAATTTCAGCTCTCTAGCTCTTATAACTTCTGAGATCCTTTTGCTCATACGGACGGACGGACGGACGGACGGACAGACGGACAGGGCTATATCGACTCAGCTCGTCGTCCTGATCAAGAATATATATACTTTATGGGGTCTGCGATGATTCCTTCTGCCTGTTACATACTTTTCACAAAACCATTATACCCTGATTTCCCATTTTCAATGGGTTCAGGGTATAAAAATACAGTACAATTTTTATATAAATATCATAAAAATCAATTTAATAATTAAATATACTGTTGTAATAAAAAATTACAAATAAAAGTTTATAAAAGTTTTCCTCTCTCTTCTTGGGAGTTCTTTTGACCCTCAATTTTTTTTAATGCGTAACTCTTATTTGCGGTCCCTGATTTTGAATGTTCAGTGGCAGTTTGAATGCCGAATAAGCTGTTCTGCCTCCATCTTATAACGTAGCTGCAATGCCAGATGATGCTGTATCTCGGCAAGAAATAACGAAATAGGGAATGTTTTGCCACCCATAAAGTAAATTTGTAAAAATTGATAAGGTTCGCTCGGCATTGGTAGCAATGAACCGACTTTGTGGTCAACTTGGCCTTTGATTTTGAATGTGAAATGAAATTGTTGAACATTTGCAACAGTATTTTCAACTATTTCCGTTGCTCCAAACGATCTCATTTGAAAACATGAATTGAATTTTCGAATTGACTGCAAGAACAGTGAAGAGTCTGGATCAGGGCCAATAATGATGCCGTGCAATGGGTCCGGCGGTGTTTCAATTTACGGGAGCTTTACTTTTTCTGATGAGGCTCATTTAAATTTAGGGGCAGTGCGGGCATTTCTTTACAATGTACCAACTACGAACTACGAATCTACGCGCTTCTCCTCGTTCTAATTGTCTTTGCTGGTTTCGCTCATCTCGTGCCTCTTGCAATTGTGATGCATGTAACTGCGGCATGCTTACACGGACATCTGCCTTGCTTTGTTGCTTTCCTTCATCTGATATTTGTGCTCTGTTATCTTAGACGCTTCTAGATTTGAATTAATTAATTAGCCCTCTTGCATTTTCATGGCATTGCTCTGTTAATCAAACATAAATAAATCAAGTTGAAAACAGTTTGGGGATAAACAGTGACGTAATATTGTATTCGATTGCTCATTGTTTAGCTTACCTTTACACGTATATTTATTAATCACGTTCACGTATTAATAAAATGTGCATGAATAATTGTTTTACATGAGAGCATGACCGAAAACTGTCACTGTATCAAGCCTACTGGGTAAATTCTCAATGACAATGCAAAGATCCTCAACAGCAAGCAATGCTTCATTGTACACTGCGTCACAGAATAATATCGTAAATTCGTTGCGTCAACCCACCCTTTAAACTTAGGGACATGAAAAATAGATGTTGGCCAATTCTCAGACCTACCCGACCTGCACACAAAATTTCGTGAGAATAGGCTCAACCGTTTCGGAGGAGTTTGGCAACAAACACCGCGACACGAGAATTTTCTATATAAGATATATACACAGGCTGTCCATATTCGACTGACCCATCTGAAGCCTTACGTCTTTTGACAGAGATGCCAGATCGCTTATTAAAATGGATTAGTATACGCACCGCTAGCACTCCCAAATTGTTGAAATTTACATTCAACAAAACAAGTCAATTTTGAAAACTCAACGTGCGTATAAAAAATTAAATAATGTGAAAAGTGCGTCTGCTAAGAACACCATTAAACGTTTGCATAAAATATTTTCGATCACACACAGCTCGCATTACAATCGATTTCTTTAATGAAATTTTTTTCTCCGCGTTTGATGTCGGAAAATGGCGATTTCGACTGGCCTCCGCCTTCGCCTGATTTAACGCCACCTGACTTTCTTGTGGGGATATTTAAAATCAAAGGCTTATCTTAAAAAGCCAACGACAGGAGAGCTCAAGAACAACATTCACGAGGAAATAGCCGATATTCCAGCTGAAATGTTTGCCAAAACTATGGAAAATTCTGCAAAACGTACACAATACGCCGTTAATTCTTTAACTAAATAAATTGATTATTATCGTCAACATGAACAAAAATTGTGTTTATCTTTGATTTAATTGAAAAACACTTGGGTCAGTCGAATATGGACAATTATTTTATATTGTATATTATCTTTTTATACCCTGAACCCATTTTCAATGGGAAATCAGGGTATAATGGCTTTGTTATTATTGATCAGGGCGACGAGCTGAGTTGATTTGGCCCTGTCCGTCGTCCGTATGTATGAACGCGTCGATTTCAGAAGAAATAAGAGCTAGAGACTTCAAATTTTTTTTAAAATGTCCGTAATTAAAGCGTGGATATCAAGTTTATCATTAAAAATCGATAACTCATCCCAATCTTTTTTTATCGATAAAAAAACAGTTATAAAATTATATCTCCTACATCTTTACTGTCCAAATTTTTTATTTATGCTTATATGCAATTTATGCAATTTCGGTTTTTGTTAAAATTTACCCCCCACCCCTATATCCACCCCCTCACCCACATGTTTGTAAAAGGCGTATTTACTAGAGACTTGTGCTTTAGCAAATACATGTATATTCATGTTATAATCATAATCTGAAAGTTTCATGAAGATCGTATGTCCACAAAATTATTAAACAATTAAGCTCTCATAGTAAGCGCACACTGCAGTCCATGCGTGTTTATGCGTGGGTGCTTGTGTGTGTATGTATGTGTGTATGTGTTTGTGTGTATGCGTGTGTGTGCGTGTGTATGCGTGTGTGTGTGTATGTATGCCTGTGTGTGCGTGCGTGCGTGTGTGTGTGTGTGTGTGTGCGTGTCTCTTGTGTAAGCTGAATGACGCGAAAAAATTATGAAATAGGTATTGCTCCAAGGGCTCAGGGGATCTCGTAGTCGAGCAGTCTCGACTAGAGCTTTCTTACTTGTTTAATGTAAATTATAATTCATTTCACTTGAATCCCTGATTCACTTGATAAATGCCGATCAAATGGTCTTAAAGGAGGAAAATAAAAGTTCTTTGATATACATATATCTTTAGTATATATTCTCTGTTTTCAAAACATATAACGTATACTTATTGTGTTTGAATCGTATGTATATATTAAGGATTTTGTAAATATTTGGATAATTACGTTTCATTCAGGATTAAGTTAATGAAATCAATCAAAATTGTATTGTAATAATTTTTAATAGTTTATTTATATTTATTTTGTCTAGGTACTCTATAAATATTATATTTAAGTAGGAATACATTTTACAAAAACAATTCTGGATGGCTGTTCCACAATTGTTTTTGCAGCTAAACGGAGGCATTCAATTGGGTTATCTGTGAGATCCGTCCATGTAACCATTGCACAGGGTATGCTTAAGATGCTGAAAGCAAACTGTTATTTTGCATAGCAATTCTACTGTTATCTGGTCTGCCAGTAAAAGCATTTGTTAAAGATGCGCTTCCACATTATATTGTATAATTATCGAAGCTTCAGCTCGAGCTCATTCATTTTGTTTTCCTAATGTATTACAATAACTAGTTATATTAAGTATATTAAGAAGCATTTCAAGTGATTTTAGAACTCTGCAATTAGGGGTAGGCGAGCACGTGGCACACTTGGCTAGTTCAAACAGTTGTGCCCTAGGGATTGTTATACAATTACAATAACAATTATAATCGATTATAAAGATTAAAGATAAATAGAAAACGAGAGAAAAGCAGGTGGCCCGAAATGCTCTGCAAATGGCTGTTTGCGAAGCATTTCCAGATGACTCCTCTTTGGGGGGATTTCATCCTCAGACCAACCACTCGCTGGCTAGCGGAAACTTGAGTGGCTTGCAGCTGCTGATCCTTAGCGCGCAGTTATTGTCCTCGGGAGCAGTTGTTGGGTTGCTGTAATAGCACTTCTCGTTGGCCGAGCCGAGACTAAGACTATGGCTAAGACTACATGCATTAACACCGTTCCCATTCCGTGCACTTGGCTGTGCTTTCGGGAATGGTTCCCTCTTCTCTGCATCCTCTGCACTGCCGTCCGCCTCTGTATAACTAACATTTGTGTGATAAGCGTAGTAACTGTGGAGGTTCAGCACCTTGTTGTTGATCACTTCCGTATTTGTTGTTGCTTTGTTTGTTGTTGTTGTTGTTGTTGTTGTTGTTGTTGGTGAATAAGCCCTGCAGTTTAAACTATAAATGTTGATGCTGGTGCTGCTGGTGTGTATATTCAAATGCACAGCATTGTCATGTCACACCGAAGTGCCCTGCTGGCCAGGCACAGCCGAGCCACAGCTGGCATCTGGTTTAAACGACTGCTGCAGTCGCTCCTGGCACTTGCCCTTCGACGCGAAGAAGAACTTGTAGATCATGTACATGGGTATGCACAGCACCGACGAGCAGGTCACGGCCCAGCCCACCTGGATGCTCCACGGCGGATAGTAGAACTCCTCGCCCAGCATTTCCTTATAGCCTAGTATCGAGAATATAAAGATGGTCTGCGGAAAGGCCAGATCTGTAGGGACGTCTTAACTCGCTCTCTCTCTCTCTCTGTCCACTTACCAGCAGAAACACGGGGCTTATGTACGTCCAACAGATGCGCCAGAAAATCCCCGGCTTGGCGCCCAGCATCTGCTCCACATCCGCGCTGAAGCGATCAACGCCGTAGAACCAGAAGACGCCAGCCGCTTCGACAAACACCACGAAGAGTATGGCCAGGCCGGGTCCGTACACATTCAAAAAGTTAACCAAGACCACGCCACCCTGCAATCAGAAGGTCGCTGATATCAGTCACCTGTGCTACATTCTATGTTTGCTGGGCATGCAGCATTCTCTTTCATGTACTTATTATTGGGTGAGAACAGAGAACTGGACAGTATTTACGAATTGTGTGGCATGTCAGCTATCGTGGACGGGGACACATCTATTACACACATATTCAGACTGTGGATGGATTCACTATTGTCTATCAATCAAATTGCCGCTGTTTATCCAAGCAAATCTATATCATAACCATTGCCGATTGTTATTTAATAGCTTCCACTCCCTGGAGTGGATGCAGTTGTCCATGCTAGGCTTGATAAATGGATGCAGGCGGAGTCCCGGCTAAGATATGCACATAAATGGAATTGCTTGATCCATTGACCGATACTCAAGTCGAGTGGTCAAGTTAAATATATAAAGGATACTAAATTACAATTTCAAATGTAATCAGACAAAGTGGCGATGGGCGGACAGAAACAGGCACAGACAGACAGAGAGCCCAGTGTTTGGCCAGCCCCCTTCTCTATCCCGGTGGTCGGGCATGCTTGGCCAGGCGAAGAGCAAACAAGCGCGCGACCCACCTGGCTGACAGCTAATAAAAATGCAGAAGCTGAAGCAGAAGCAGAAGCAGAGGCAGAGGCAGACGCCGAAGTTGAAACACATGGAGAGGGAAGCGAACCGGGTAGGCGGTTGGCGACTTGACGGAGCTAAGTGAGTATGTGAGATTATCTGGAGGAACGATGGAAAGCACTTAATATGGCAATCCATCGTTTTTTGCTCCAGGCAAACTGGCATATTTAAACAGTCAGCAAGTCCGCTCATCCCTTGCCTCAGCCGACAGCAAGACAATTGGCACTCTTGGTCCTGGCCGCGTTTAATGAGCCATGTGAAGCCCCCGCCATGAATAGTCGTAGGGTGGGGGTGCAGGCGAGCAGGGGAGTAGGGCGCACGCACTTAACAGTTAATTAAACGAATCACTCGGACCGATAGATAAGCGACAGCAGCTCCTCACACTCATACTTACATAGGTCATTGTGGGCAGCGCGCACAGGAAGATGAAGGCGAGCAGGAGGAGCACGAACAGCTCTCGCCTTCGCCCGATCGCACGTGGATACTCGTCGCAGAGGGCCGTTATCATCGCCTCCAGGCCGCCAAAGGTGCTGTCCAGTCCCAGCGTGATGAGCATTAAGAAGAATATAATGCTCCAAAAGACCGAGCCGCTCATGGTGGCAATAGCCTCTGGATACACGATGAAAACCAGGCCGGGTCCCTCCAAGCCCACCTTGTCTATCGATGTCTTCTGCACGTTGGCCATATAGCTGGGGGCGTGAAGAGAGTTTACGGGCTTACGTTTTAAGAGAGTCAAATATTTATCAGCTAGTATTATAATGATTTATTGATTGATTGCGCTGCTTCATTCTAGCCCCAAAAATATGTTTCCAAATTATACGCTTCATCTGAATTCTCAAATACTTTAAGGAATATTATCAAAGTCGCTTTCTAAATGTAAATAGAGAATCAATTGAATTAGCTAACTATACTTCATAATTACAAAATTTCTATACTGCTTATTTATTTTATGGTATTGATTATATTTTATTTTGCTATACTTTAGAAATTACTTCAGATGTATATGTAGCTTAATTAAAACATGTTTCTGAATATAATAAAATCAGGATTTCCGCTCTATACTCACCCCAACACCGAAAAGATAACGAATCCGGCCAGAAAGCTGGTCAGGCAATTGATGCTGCTGGTTATGAGCGCATCCCGGTAGCAGTTGTTGTTGAACTTATTGTAGCTGGAGAGGGCTAACAGGGTGCCGAAACCGGGACCCAGGGAGAAGAAGATTTGCGAGGCTGCATCGATCCAAACCTTGGAGTTCTTCAGCTTGTGCCACTCGGGAGTCAGGTAATACTTGATGCCCTCATCAGCGCCAGGCAGAGACACGCCGCGCACCAACAAGATAATGAGTACTACGTAGGGCGCCAGGGCCGTGACCCAGACGACCTTTCCGGCACTGCGTACGCCTTTCCAGAGCGAGAAGTAGACGAGCACGAAGACTCCAAACACACAAAGCGCCAAGGTGGGCTTAACGGGCCCCATGAAGTCCAGCCCGTTGCTCTTGTAGCTCTCCAGAACTCGACGCCTGTGATATTCAGTTATGGACGCATGGGAATAAGAGTATATCTATGGTGATCTTACTCGAAAAACTCCTTGGCCGGTGATGTGGCCAACTCCGTGAAGTTCTCGCTTGTCACGGGCATACAGTTCTGGGTGTTCCATGCGTTGTCGCACGACGTCCAGGGCAACTTGGCGGTGAACGAGGCGAACAAGTAGTACACCGCCCAGCCGATTATCGTGTTGTAGTACATGCCCATATAGATGTCGATCAGGCAAATGGCATAGCCAACGCCTGGGAAGAAGAAGAAGGAGAAGCAGAAGAGCTTATGTGAGCACATGTCTATCCATATACATAGGTATTCGTAGTAGACTTACTTAAATTAGTTCGTTATACTCTCGCATACCCCTTATCATTTATCGCCACACACTTTCTGTATTTTCGATAGGGCAGTAGGAGTACAGGGACAACACACTTGAGCTCCAATTATACGCCGTGAGAGAAGCAGTCGGACAACTCCCTTATTATATTCTTGTGATTTGATCGCATTTTGATTTATTATTATTATAATTTGATTGATGTATCATCGCATTACATACAACTTGCATTGATTTGAAAGTATAATTTTGCTTATCTATGATAATATTTGCAAATCTAATTTATTCTAATTGCCATGAAACTCTATTAGTTGCCATAAATATCTCATTATGGGGAGACATTTGTGGCGCCGATTTCTTGTAGTATGCATTGTCATAAATCTACTGTTGGCTACATACCTATATCAAAGTCGTACTTATGCCATTCAGCTAACCCCCTTCAATTGCAACCCGAATGCCTGGCAGCATCGAACTAGTTGCATGGCATAGTTTCAGGCATTTCTCTTATCAAAGTGCCTCGACAGTGCCTAACAGAATGTGTGTGTTAGTGTGTGTGCGTGTCTCTGTGCAAAGTGGGATTGCCAATCTCTGATTGATAACGATGAGAGAATTCATCAACTTCAAATATTCCCACGTGACATTTTACACATTCCTGCTTATTGGACACGACATGGAAGTGGAATGCTTTGCTGAAATGTGTCCACGGACTCCACGCGTCTCCACGGCATCTGGATCCACCCGCTGTGCACCTCTCCTCGCAACACCTGCCATACTTATTTGATGATGCCAATAAGACACGTCACATGATTTTGAGTTGGCTTGTAGCCATCGTAGCCTTGCTCAGACTTTGCCACAAGCAATTTTTATTTTTATGATTGTGATACCCTGTATCAATTGAGATCAAAGGCGGGCCATTCCCAATTCTGTTTTACTTGCTTCGCCGTAACTAATTGGAAAAAGCTTGGCTATCAAAATGTATTAGTTAAGCACTGTATACATCTAATGTCTTATCCATATTCACGATTTCTCTAATAGAAATCATAAAGGAGCTTTAGATTGTAGGGTGCACCTTGGTCGAGCACTTTCTTCTAGTTTATACCTCTGTGACTTTCAGTTTGTGTGCGAGTGTGTGTGTGTCAATGGTTTTTCTTCATTTCTATTCAGTTTTAATCGCCTGGCAGAAAGTTGGCGCAAAGGTTTCTCTAGAGCAAACACTTGTTGAGCAAATGATGACTGCCACAAAGTAATGTTTGCCGTTCAGCTCAGGGCCAGAGAGCCAGAGGGCCGGCAGCTCGGCAGCTCGGCAGCGCGGAGACTCAGAGGAGCTCCGGATGCGAAAGTGGGAGTGGCTCTAGTGAGTCAGCAAAAACTTGGAGCAAGTTTAAAGCGCTGTCAGCCGCAGGATAAATCCACTTGTATGCCAGGAAAATCCATTTGGCAGCATTTTGTTTGCCATTTAATGAAATTATCAACTTGATACGCAAAACTTTTTAGTGTCTTCGTATCGAGATAAGTCAATTTGTGCATGGGAAGGCGAAGGAGGAGGAGGTGGAAGTGGTGGCGACGCCTTGCTGCACAATTTAATTAGAGCTCATATTGCGCCTGATTTGGCCCTATTCAGATTTGAATTTGAATTGGACTGAATGCGTCGCTAATTGTTGCAACAATTTCCAGTCTGGCTTATCAGCAGCTGACTTGAATCAACTCGAGGCCGACTGCGGTCCCATTCGGACTCCCCGATAATGTCAACAGCAGCTGAGCGAAACAATGAAGGCAACTTCCCTGCGGGCGCCTCTGTCCACACTCTCACCTAACTCCCCTCTCTCTGCCTCCTACCCATTTCAGTCCCATCCCATCGCAACATCACATCAAATTCAAACATTAAACAATTTTGTTGCTGTTGCTGTTTCTGTTGCTCTTTAGTGCCCCCAGCACGTGTGCATGTGTGTGTGTGTGTGTGTGCGTGTAATATATTTGATATTAAAACTCTTCAAAGTAATGTGAAATATATAAATATGTACATATAAATCAATTTTCATTACTCTCCCAGGGGCTGCGGGGCATTTAACTGCACAAATATTGAACGCAATTCGAAGTCTTGATAGATTCGAAGTTCGAACGTACAATTTGTGTGGAATGTGCTTTCTTTTCCGTGTGGCGATTATTCAATATTTGTAATTCATTTATGTGGAGCAGCATCAAAATAAATTGCACCTGGGATTGCGCCTTGGGATTCTTCTGGGAGCTACACAGTGGGTAGAGTCGATTGCCCTGTTAACGAGCTGCTTGAGATTTAATTTTAATTTAGTTTCGTTTATTGAATGAGAATACTCCGAAAGACTCCGAATTTCATTCCAAGATCCCATTGAAATTGGGAAATCCCCCAAAGTATATATATTCTTGATCAGGGCTACGATCAAATCCCTCAAGAGCTCTACAATTGAAGTATTTGTTTTTAAGTCTTTACGCCATCTAACTTTTCGCGACCCCGTTTCAATGTTATTGATTACAGTTATTTTTAAAATTTAAAATTGACAATATCATTAAAGTCCAATTAATAATTCAGAAGATGTCAAACAGACCGCGTCGCCGACTGGCAACAGCCCATTTTTAGCTTATTGGAAATGAGAGATCACGGCATAATTAACAACATTATAAACCATTGATTGGTATAGTTAAGTCCTAAATGCGCTATAGAGATTTAGAAATAATCACGAAATCTCCATAAGAATGATTTAGTATTACCAAGCATTCACTCACCCTTCAATGCTGGACAAATGCGCTTCCAGATGCTGATGCAGCCGCAGCGATGGAACTGACCCAAGGCCAGCTCCATGTAGAACAGCGGCAGACCGCCAAAGATGAGGAAGATGCAATATGGCACCAGGAAGGCGCCGCCGCCATTCTGATAGCAAATGTAGGGAAACCGCCAGACGTTGCCCAAGTCAACGGCGAACCCGATCACGGCCAAAAGGAACTCGGCCTTCTGGCCCCAAGTTTCACGATGTCGCTCCGTCACGGACACGACCAACACGCGCTGAAAGGCATTGATGGTTTGCTGTTGCAGCGGAGTTTATGAGGATGCTGGACTTACCTCATTGTTGGCTAGTCGTGGGGCCAGAGGATCGGTGACCTTAGCGGGCGTCGTGTTGTCGCCGTCCTCATCGCCGTTGGAGTCATCCTCGTTGTTGGGCGACTCCTTGTTGCCCCACGGCGTGGCCGTTGCAACGCTCGCCGCGGCTGCATTCTGTCCGAACTCCATGCTGCTGTCGTTTCTGGTGCGCTCCATGCTGCCACTGCTGCGAACATCTGGCTGAGCCTGAACGGGCATTGTGGCCGAATACGGCGATCGCGGTACTAGCGTGGCCAGCCGGACTCTGCCCTGCACTGCCACAGGTTGCGTTTGTGGCTGTGCCAGAGCCAAGGCTCTCAATATACCCACTCTTTCTCGCTCCTCCTCTCACTACCTCCCTTTCTCTCTCTCTCTCTCTCTCTCTCTCTCTCACTTACTCTCTCTTTCTGGCTCTGGCTCTGGCTCTGTCTCTGTCGCACACAAGCTCTATTGCACTCCGTGTATTGTCAGCTGGACTCCGATTATTGCACTTTGCCCTTCAGTGTTTACATGCTGGCCGACACATCCTTTGCCTGGGGGCGTGGCACTGACCTTGGGACAGCAATTGCTCTTGCCATTAACTGAAAGCGGTTAAAGGATTACTCGTGACTTCAAATGATGAACAACCAGAGAAGCTCCTCCCAAACGATGTATCGCACATATACACAAAGAAACACATACACACACATACACACACCTATGGACAATGGCTAAACAACAGTTTGTACATGAATATTTGTAAATTCAAAGAAATATCCATGTGGTAAGGTGGCTCACGACAATAATATTAATAGGTGGATGCCAAATTATAATATAGATATATGAATACCTCACGACAATAATATTAATAGGTGGATGCCAAATTATAATATAGATATATGAATACCTACATTACATTATACATAATACATTAATCAAATTTCCAAATCATAATACAAGTAGGAACGTTGCAGTTGGGCGCTCTAACTGCAGAATACTCATTCACATCCTATCAGCAATTTATTAGCTAGGTTTACCTCAAACGGACATTGCACAAAACAAAACAAACTCATTTCACTTTCGTGAACGTTTTTCACGTTTTTAAAGGTAATATTCTACTTTTTTGTCAATATAATTAATCATAGGTCTTCCTGTATATGTACATATCAACTTGTCGATATATTTTCTTAAAACTTTTACAAGTTTAGTAAGCAAATCGAATCGAAATAAATACAGAATTTGCCATTGAGCTAGCTTAAGTCCTTTCAAATAACAGTGATATATGCAATTGCATGAATGGACTAATTTGATTTTCTTTGTAAATTTGATACTTGTTTCGGTTGGCTACCCCTGCCCAGACGCGCATGTACGCATCATTAACTGGCAACTCTCTCGCTCACATCGGAGTCCCCGAGGTGTCCTTTGCCGCGTAATCTATGGCTCAGCGGTTGCCCTGCACCGAGAGCACTTGCGGCGCATCCCTGACCAAATTGGCGATGCTCAATGTCAATGCTGTAAATACTTGTAGACTACAATGTGGCATGAAAGCAGATGCAGATACATATATACGTACACATATGTATATGTTGCCCAATTGAGTGCGCCATCAGGTAGAGTTGCTAGGCGCGAATAGCCGACGGCTAGCCTTCAGGCTATTGTTGGATGCCGCCCTGGTCTTCCACATGTATTTGGACATGATTCAACAGTCGAGGTGTTTTCGTGGGATCGTGGGACTGGTAGTGCTATAAGAGAGGATGCCTCTTCTAGAATTGCGAGATGAGTCGCAACTGCTAAAAGTCATTTGCGTCGCTTTTTAATTACAATTTGAGATGTTTGCACCTGGCGCGTTCACAGCGCACGTATCTCCGAGTGGGAAGCGACAATTCTGATAAAACGAGCAGCACAAACGTCGCCGATAATTAAAAGTCAGTTAGAGATTGGAAGGGAACGAATCACACGTGGCAATTGCAAATTAATTGCCCATGTTAATTTAATATATCAGATGAAAATAAGTGAGTTACGAACGAGCCTCAACTAAAGTTACACATAAATTAAATGTCTACGGGTGTCTGTTGGAGAGAGCTCAATTGAAACCAGTTACCCATTCCACTTTATGAACTAACTGCGATAAATCCATAACATTATAGACTGAGATCGCATTTCGACATATCGACTTGACGTGCACATGGGATGAATATTTTATCAATCAGAAAGCGTTTCATGCAAATGTTTCAAGGTGTTTATTGAACCATATATCATACATGCATTGTACAATTACCGCTAATTTATGTGTTACTAATTATATTCTTTATGTATCTATATAGACATATACATAGTAATCATTGTCACAAAAAGGCAACTGCAACTGTATTATTATAGACCTATTGATACTGGGAATAAATTATACAAATGGCTGTGTTTTTCAAAATTGAAGCGAAAAAAATAATGATAAAATTTAAATAATATCCAACTGCAAAAGTATGAAATGCTTTTATTTTATTTATTTATTTATTTTTTTATTTTCAAAAATAATTGCAGATTTCTCATCCGATTCTTTTAGTTTATTTACTTTCAGTTAATTTAGCAAACTTACTTTTTTTATTTATTTTTATTTATTTGTGTGTGTTTTTAAAATTGACTTTTACAACACTGTTCGTAATATCCACACAAATTTTAAGTCCGGCATATTGAAGCTTTTAAAATTATATGTTTAAAAAATCAATTGAAAGTGAATTGTTTTTCTGCGCGTTCAATACATATATGTAAATAAAAACTTGCACTTTCTTCCTCAACTGAGCTTCATTCAAAATTCGAGAGGCGCGCGCCGCTTCGCTGTGGCAACTGCTGGCCGTGCGAACGAGGCGCATCCTTTTATACACGCCAGGACGACAGCCGAGCCGAACGAACTGCTCCCCATCGTGCGTTGCCCAAATATATGCGGGCTATGCTTGCCCTGCCCGAGGCGGAGGCTGCTCGCCTCCTGCCTGACTTAGACAGGTGGCAGCTGTAGCTTAAATTGCAACAAACTGTTGCGTGCCACAGTTTATTCAACAACTACGGCGTGAAGGAATGGGCAGGGGTAGGGCAGGGCAGGGCTGGGCAGGGGAGGACTGGGCAGGGGAGGAGATGGGACATGTGTCGAAAGAGCAGTCGATACATACTTAGCACTTAATGTTAACAGATAACAGTGCTTAACGTATATGTATAGATGTATATACATATGCATATATTCAAAATACATGTATACACAAATATTGATATATCTACCTATATCTCAATGTAAATATACCAGAATACTTTTCACTCAACTCCTAAACAACTAAAGTTACAAGATTTTATATTCAAATCATTCTTATTGGATTTTTAGTCAGAGCACTGCAGAGAGCGCCGTAAGCCTCCGATTATATCGATAAGGGTTAATATGGGAAATGAATTCTCGATCAAGTAAGAATGGCACTCGTTGGCTTTATCTTGTTTGGAAACTTGACTGTTCCAAAGCAGAGCTTAGACCCAATGGGCTTGTATAATGATTGAGCAATGCTTACATCAACGTATTCATAAGACTATGTATTACATATGTCAGGTATCCATCACTTTACAAAGTATCGTTTCTGAGATACCGGAAATAGTAGAAACAGAGCGCGTGTCTTTCTCTTTGTGAATAAGTGTAAAGAACACCTAACATTCCACAATACATAATATATGTATAATATAATTATCCCATTTAGCACACTAATTTCTTGGGTCTGAGCGCATTCCCGATGTAGACGACTGCATCAATCTTCAAGTCAAGCTAATTAGTTTAATTACTAGAAGTCGCGGATCGGGCCAGGCGGCGCTCGCAGCCGGGCTGCAAAACGTACACTGATTGTGCGCGCCCTGCACTGCGCACGTTTTATACGGTTGAGGTAGGCGGCTTTCGCAGCTTGGCGGTCTGGCAGGTAGCGCAAGCAAAAGTCTGGCCACACTGGTGTTAGCGCTCCCTCTGCAGCTTACCTCGCATTCGCAAGCCGAGAGCTGGGCTTTGAGTCCACAGACTGGTGTGATGTCATGCCCTTGCCTGTAGCACCTGTTTGTTTGGAGCTGCGAATTATGGACATCCAGCCACGACAGAGCGCACAATGATACTGTTGTTATTATTGCTACGATACCATAACTTATGCCGGCACTTCGAGCGACCTCATCGATTACTCAGCCATGATAGGGGAGCGAGCGAGGGTGATCAGAATTGTCAATGGGCAGTCAGCACCGCCTTAGGTGCGATCAGTGATCACGAGTCATGTCGCATTTTCGATGATTGTACAAATGCACATTTGTGTCGCATCATAGTATCTGTGCATTTATGAGCCATTACACGCCCCGAAATTTATGTAAGTGTAATCGGATATCGAATTTCCTAGCGATTGCCCACGACCACAAACTGTTTGAATACGTCACGTTCGCCCCGCGCAGAAGGTGACTTACGAAAGAAAGAAAGAGTGAGCATGAGCGAGAGCATGAGCGAGAGCGAGCGAAAGATAATTGCGTGTGCCTAGTCTTTGTAATAAGATGCAAACGGAATTCGCATGCCCCTTGCTAATTGCTGCGTAAATAATTTAGTACCCATTGAGTAAAATTGACTTTTCAAATCTGTGTTTGAATTCCTCCTCTTATTCTCTATTGAAATATCGATTATTTCGTAAACGTTGATAGTCGCGTGATCTCACACTGTTTCACGAATAGTACTTTTTGGGTTCTTTAATTCTAGCAATAAGCAAGAAATCGGTCTGCTATCTTTCTCTCTCTCTTTCTCTCTCTCTCTCTCTCTCCCTCTCTCTCTCTCACTCGCTATCTGTCAAAGATATAAAACTGCTACGACATCTTTTACAAATAAAGATATCTAATTGTATCTTTGGACAGATTACCCTGATAGGTATGAGATCGTAGTAAACTTTACATTATTATTTTTAATTGATTCTTACAGATCATATTCATGTTACTATTAATTATAGTTTCCTACTAAATAGTATTTTCATTGGTTTAAAACTCTTGAGGTGGCTCAACCTTAAGTATGCGCTAACATGATTTCATTTACTATTTATGCATGTAGGATAATAGAACATACGTCAAAAGTAAAATAAAGTGTAAAAATGTTATTCAAGATGAATCTAACAGAGCTGCTCTCTGCTTAGTTTAACATGTATCGTGTAACTTTTAACATTACATCCGCATTTTTCTGAAGTACCCAAGGAAACTGCGCTGCGGTAGCGCCGCTACCTGCTCATTCATACATGTGTAGTTGTTTATCTACATTTACCTTAACAGTGCACTGTACTTTCTGCGTGCCTGCTTGCTGGTGTATTCCTGTGTAATATTTAGTTCATTAAAAAGCATTTATTTACACTCGCATACATAAATATCTACTTAAGTGTGGGGCTAATGCGTGGAATTACATTTTTGTCATTGATTTCATTTAATCTCTAATCTATGCAGCCAAACAAAAATCTGGTTTATGGTTGGAGAGATATTCCGGCTGCACAGTACAGTCGGCTCTTGCGAGCATCAGGTATTTTAAGCAAACTACAAATAAGAAATTTTCTCATAGTCACGATAATGTTACTGTGCTCCCAGTCCATGGTGAATTCAACTCACCTTACTCAAAATCTGTGCGCCTGGACGAATTTCACACTCGTTTCCACATGAGCAACAAAGGTTGAGATGGAATAAAACTGCGCTCACGCCGCAGAGAAGCTCATTCATTTGATATTTTGTCTACAGACATGACATGTACACACATTCCTACACACACGCCCATGCATCATATACAAATGTACACATGTTTGAATGTAAGAGCTAGTTGTATTTGATGTGCGCCTGGCACAACTTGAGGACTTAGCTCCAATTGCTTCAACTGATTGAGCATGGAGAATATGGGGGTATAAAATCAAGAAAACTGAAACGTTTGTGTGTCTGAGATTAGTGGATATTTTGGGCATCGGACAACTGAACACATTGGATATTGGATATCGAATTATAAGTCTTGAGAGTTAGTTATGTTGTACATATTATATACATAGTATATGGTTGTTTCAGTCGCACTATCGCTAAAAAACAGTACATATATTTTGTGTGTGTATGCATTTAATTACATCTGTCGACTTACATTATAAGATTATCAGCGTAATCATAGAAATCATGCAAAAATTGATATGTACATATGTATAATTGACGCATGTGTACCTATGTTTATTGTAGTTGTATTTTCAGTTATTATTATTGTTATTTGCAAAAAATGGTCGTAAAAATTGAGGCAACTGAAAAAGGTATAGTTTTTCCGGTGCCACTTGAATCGGATCATCCAGAAGTAGCCCTGATCGTCTAGTGGTTAGAACCGTGGGTAACCAAGGTTCGAATACTGGTCACGGCAATGCATCGGATTGCATTGTCATGGGTCTGGATTTCTAGATTTTTTATTCTTTAATAGAACATAAAATTAATATAAACATATTTTACTTGATTGAAAAAACGTCATCAGACCTAAATCGAAGTCATATCCAGTTTAGTACCTTTGTATTGTACGACTACTTGAGCCAGTCGATTTTCTGTTTGGTATTTTATATTTATTTATAAAACTATACATTTGTTGAATTAAATAGTGTACAACAGCGCCATCTATACTACAATTGAAAATTAAGGTTAAAAAATAAAGGTTCGTGCCATTGCTGCTAAGACAGTAATGTTAAACCAGTATTATTAAATAATTTTGTAGCTATAGCGCCATCTATATTTCGTATGCTCGTACAATATATATCTATATATTTATTCACCAAATTTTACTTTTGTTGAATTAAACAGTAAGCAACAGCGCCATCATTTAATTAAAATATTCAGTTCTTACAAAAAACATGTCCGTGTCATTGCTACGAAACCAGTAACATCTAAAATTGTTATAATAATCCCCATCTATCGTTCGTTCGTTATATATATGTCATTTAAGATAAAAGCAAGATTTAGACAAAGGCTTTACAGATTCGACGTAGCCGTGATCGTCTAGTGGTTAGGACCCCACGTTGTGGCCGTGGTAACCCAGGTTCGAATCCTGGTCACGGCAATGCTATTAAGAGGCATTGTCACGGAGTCGAATTTGAACAATCTTTTTTGTATTAATTTTATTTAAATTTAATATTTTTGTATTAATTTTATTTAAATTTAATATTGAATAAATTAGCCAGCTTTTATTACATTTACGATTAATCTGCATTCAGCATTAAAATATTCTTATTTTGACATTATGTACTTGTGTAATTCTGTCTTCATTTATTTTTCCAAAAGATATGTAATGTATGTATATAAATTGAAAATAAATTATTCGATCAGCTTTGTACATCTTTGGTAGTTAGTCTCGATATTATTAATAACCCGGCGTAGCCGTGATCGTCTAGTGGTTAGGACCCCACGTTGTGGCCGTGGTAACCCAGGTTCGAATCCTGGTCACGACAATGCCCAAAGGAAGGCATTGTCACGGAGTCTGGGTTCTTTTTTCTTTCTTTCTATTGTGTTTAATTTCATAAAAGCGCCAAGCTGAATATATGAGGAACTCTTAAATTAAATAGTAACAACAAATTCATATCCATTTCTCTATATTTTAGACTTCAGTATTTACAATTGCCATTTTGCATAACATACATACGATTCATATAAATAATATATCTGAAACAGTTCTCAGTAAATCAAACATTGTTATAAAGCTTTATCGTTTCCCCGATAATTCATCGAATTCTTTTCGATCTTTTAGAGAAAGTGTGGTTTACCACTACAGCTTACTCGTCATATTTGAAAACCATAAACACATACACCCGCGGAATGTGTTAAAACATTTCAGATGTATACAAGATACATGTTTTTTAAAATACACAAAATAAAATCAACTAAAATTACAAATAACATGCGGGTTGGTTTTCCATTTTTATGTTAAACTTTATGTGCACTGCTTACTTCTTACTGCTTACTGCTGTCCATAAAGCAGTTCAGAGCCGGGTGGTATGGAGCTGGGATCGACGTTAGCACTAAAGTAGTTGGCGGGCGTTGCTACAGACGGAAAGAGCCCCTCTGCTGACTGAGGTTGCTGTGAATGTGGATGTGGTTGTACCTGTGGCTGTCGTTGATCCTGCGGCGCCTGTTGTAAAGTTATATTATAGG